AGCGAGACAGGACGGCGGGAAGCTCGCTGGGTAGACGCCTACCAGCACCTGTACTGGGGCACCCACCTCCAGGTATCGACCGCGGCGGGGACTGGATACCTGCCTCACGCTAAATCAACACGGCTCCTTTCTTCCAATTCCATCTCCCGTAATCCATACCTCCCTCTGGGTTCCATTTTCTCCGTGGCTGCTACATAGGTAATTCATTAGTTAGGCGCCCCAAATTGGACCTGTCAGGGATAAACACGACGCCGACCAGCCCCTTGGTTCACCTTCATGGGCAACACCTAGAAGAAATGAGAGAACTCAACTGAGGCTTTCGGGCCCCTCCATAACCTGCAAGTCTTGTCGCAACTCCATTGCAGGCTGTCTTCTTGTCCCGTCCCATACATAAACCGACACTATAGGTATACAACTACTGCTCTGGACACCACCCTTGGGCACGTGAGGTCCAATCCTGAGTATTAGGCGGGCCACGCCAACGCCAGAACGACGGCCCAACAACAATTGGGGGTTAACATATATGGATCCACCGTACACTATATCAACGTACTTAAAGTATATTTTTATTCTTCGTCCCCATGCAACATCATCGAACTTAAGCAGCCTTCACATCGTCCCGGTCGCTATGCTATCTGTTTACATGTGCCTCGCCAAACATACCTCCGTCCACCACAATACAAACCGATGGGATAGTAATTATAATGAGATCAAAGGTGTTGGGGACAAAGAAGAGGAAAAAGGAAAAAGAGGGCCACCCAAGACTCCGCCGAACCTTCAGCAAAAGCCCTTTCTGAATATATGTCGAACTTGCAATCCATGAACTCCGCCTTATGCACATGCGTTTGAAAGATTATACAGCGCCTTTAAAAGGGTTCGCTCGATGATCCGGACCAAACCAGGGGACCTCTCTGCTCGTCAAATGTATGCCCCGGCTTGGCGTTGCCGCCCTCTTCACTTCTCACCCATTCACCGAGATTTACCACATGTCCTCTCGGTCATCTCTACGCCTTGCATCATCGCCGCCATCACGCCCGTACTGCTCGTGATAATATTGCTTGCCAGGCTGAGCTTCGTAGCTGTCAGGGCCATTGTAGCCATTGCCGCGTCCATTGTCAATGTCGCCGCCGTGATCATACTCGTAAATCTGAGCATCATCCACGTAGTCCACCTCATCGTGGGGATGGTCTCCGTACTGGGGGTCACTCTGGAAATTGAGTCAGCTTCAAAAATCCAATATAGGCAATTGTGGCTCAACATACCCGATGGTACTCAAAGTTGTAATGGCCCGTAGTGTCTTGCTCTGCCCCATCCTGCTGCTGCTGCTGTTGTTGTTGTTGTTGTTGTTGTTGTGCGAGGTGCTGTTCTTCCTGCTCCTTGCGGCGGCGCTCCTCCTCCAGCCGTCTTTGTTGCGGTGACTGTGGAACCTGCATCTGAGGATGCATGGCTTGGACGATGGCGAGATAATTGTACATGAAGTTACTGAGCAGAACCTGACTCAGTAGCGACCGACGCGGGTTTGCAAGCTTGATATGAGCCATCCGATAAATCGCTCGTTCCTCAAGGAGTGGAAATCTGGTCCAATGGTAATCGACATCAGGCTTGAGAGGTCGATACGGCACGTCTTCCGACACCCGCAAGTGCTGGTTCTTCTTGCTGCTGCTCTCCTTCTCGCTCTTTTTCTTACCGCCACCGAAGAGACCTGCGAAGAGACCGCCCTCCTTCTCCTTCTTAGATTCTGTCTTCTTGCTCTCCTTCTTGCGCTCCTCTGCGAGCTTGGTGTCCACGTTGTCGCGATCCACAATGATGCTTTCTCTACCCTTGGTGGTAGAGGCACCTTCGATCGAGTTCTGTAGGACATCCAGTCGGGTGTTATCTTGTGCCTTTTCTGCGTAATGCTTCTTCTTCTTTTCCTCATCCTTCTTCTTCTTGTCCTTGTCATCACTGCCGCCTTTAAGCCACTTGGACCACCCCCCAGAAGATTTCGTCGATGAGACGCTGGACGCGTCGTCATCTCTTTCCTTCCTGAGCTTGCCCCCAGTCCTCTTCTCCTCCGGCTTCTTTTCTTCTGCCGGCAAGGTGGGAATGAAAGTTAAAGTGTCTGTTCGAGAGGCACCGCCGCTAGGTAAGACGGATGAGTGGGAACCCACGTCGTTCGGCGTCTGGTTGGGAGCGGCGGCGGGGTGCTTCGGGTGTTGTACCTGTGGCTGTGGAGGTGCTGCAGGAGTCGTTGGGCTTTGTACAGAGTTGTTTGGCCCAGGCCGCTTGCTCGAACGAGCAGGAGGCTCCTCCACTGGAGACTGAGAGGGGGTCTGCTGACTTGCATGTTGCGAAGACGATCGCTGGGGAAACTGCTGCCTTTGTCCATTCTCCTCCACTGTTGGCGACTCAACAATGGACGGAACAGCTTGTTTCGCGTCGGCAGAAAACGACGATGTTCTTGTGGGATGCTGTTGTTCGGAACGAGTGCTGAGAGGAGACGCAGGCTCTTCGATCTCTGACAATGCACCATCGGATAATGCGCCCATGTCCTGGGAAAATTTGTGCTGCCGGCGTACCGATCGGTTAGGACGTGAGAAATTCTCCGCTACCGGCTCTGACTGAACTCGTTGAAGGCTAGGTAAGGGAGGCACTTCGGGCACATCGGACGGCAGAGGGGGGGCCGTATCAGCCGAGTCGGGCGAGTCCGTTTGACCGTGCCGGTTTGTAACCCTTTTCGAGAAGGGCAAACGGTCCCCAGAACGTACACTGCCGTTCTTTCGGTAAGTTGTCCTGGTCGATCGACGAAGTCCCATGCCGGGGGCAACGGGCAGAATAGGCATATCTTCAGCAGCACCCTCAGCTTGGCCTTCCTGGGCAAGCTCTCGCACTACCTTGGTAGGGTCCTTGACCAATTCGTTTAGGTTGAGCTCCGGGGTCGAGTAGTCCCTGAGGGAGCTCTTCCGTCCAAGCCTCTCGGCACCGTCGACGTAGCCCACAGCTCCTCTGCCTCCAGAATTGTCGATCTGCCGTGAGAGCATACTCTTCTTCCGCCTCAGACCACCACTGGAGTCGCTCCGAATCATACCGCTGTCGTTGGATTCGCCCGATCGTCTCCTGATAGTTTTAACGCGGTCCTCCAAGAAATTTTTGAACTCTGTTGGCGCAAGCTCTGGATGAACGGCTGCAGGCACCCAAAGCAATCTCGAAGGGTCGTTTTCGTCATCATCTCCTGTCGGGGCGATTGGAGGCATCGCCACAAGGGAGAGACCAGAAAAGGGTAGCATATCAGGGTCAGCATTGTTTCCAACATCCATAGACATGCGTCTTAGGGCCTGCAAGTTGCTGAGCTCCTGCGCAATATCGTTCGGATTCTCGATGCTACCCAGGGGGAACTGGGAGGACTCGTTTTTGACATCCCGCAGGGACATTGGCGGCGACTTGGGTCCATTTTCGTGTGAGTTGCTTCGCTGACTCGGCGAGCGCGTCGGCATCGTCTGGGACTTTTTAAGCGCGGGAGGTCCGTTTTGTCCCGCTCCTAAGCCCGTCTTGTCCGAGGCTGAACGCAACATTTGTCTACGGGGGTCTTCGGCGGAGGGGTCGGCGTCGACCTGCTTGTTGGGTTGATCGGAGTAGGAGGATCCAAAAAAACTTGAAGGCCGCTGGTCATTTGAGTAATCCTCTTCGTCTCCGTACAGAGTCCCAATAGTCTCAGTCACATGGTGGCTGGGGTCTGAGATTGACAGCTGGGCAGCATGACCGCGTCGACTCGCAAAGCTGCCGCCAACATCGGCGCGGGGTCTAGATGAGGTCTGTGGATAGCAAGGAGAGTCAGCAACCGAGGCGTATTACAGGAGGGAATTCAAGTGGGAAAAAGCAGGCAACCCGAGACACCAGATTCGAGGGGGGGCTACGACCGGTTCAACGAGTCGTGGGACAAGGCCTTTGGAAAAGCGAAAGACTCGAGGTCCAGCCAGTATGGCAGGTTGCTGACGAGGGTACGCACCATCATCTAGAAAAGCGAATCACCCTCAGAGAGGCCGAAAAGCCAAGGTTTCCGTTGAATGCACCACTTGTGATCCAAAGAATGTCGTTCGTAAAGACCGCGTCGTTGAAGTCTCATCTGTCGAGGGTAGGGGGCAGCATAGGCGCGGCGAAGAAAGGAGGCGGGGATTTCACCAGAGTGAGCGCTGATGTGAGTCGATTTGGGATACGGATACAGGTATCGATTCTCGAGTCGGCCGCGATGTTCAGTATCGCATGCGAGGAGGTGATGGAGCACCCGGTATGTACAGCGTGCGATAAGAGTTGGGAAAAACGACTGTGGAAGCCGGCCGTTGCGAACAGAGAGGGGGGGGGAAAGGCAAGCGGCGAAAGGTGCTGTTGAGAGCACTTGACAGGCGAGGATGGAGACAGAACCAGGACGTCAAAGGCGGGCAGTCGGCTGGCGGGTTTTCTGCAATGTTATGCTGGCCGTAGTGGTAAGGCAGGCAGAAAGAGTTGGTGGTGGTGGAAGTCGTTGGTAGATATCTGTACGACTCGGTAAGGCCAATAGTGTCAATGGTTCACCGTCAGTGTGAACCTTGGAGAAATGGGGTTGGGCAGGGCAGTGCAGGACAGGTGCAGACAGACAGGACAGGCGTATCCAGGCCAGGCAATTACCCCCTACTCTGCTGCAGGTCAGAGAGCGGCGGCGGCGGCAGCGGCAGCGGCAGCAGTGACCACCACAGCACGCACAGAAAACGTCTGAACGGGCGAATGAATGGGTAGACAGAGGCGCTACCAGGTCAAGGCCACGTCGTGGAGATCAGATACTTGAGGGTCGAAGTAGATGGGTACATGGCTATTTGCGGAGACAACCCATAACAGCGTCTCGTCTCGTCCGTCGGAAGTGAGCGGTCTGCTTGATTCAACCAAGTGGAGGCGCGAGAGGGGGAAGTACCAGGTACTCCCTAATCGGCGGATGACATACATAGATAGGTACTCCTACCGGAGGAGAGGGCGCCACTCAGGCTGCATTAGCGTCAATTAAACCGGACTCCTCAAGGCTCAAGCGGCCAGTCAAAGTGGTCTGGCAAGAATACAGTGTAGTCTCCGCCCCGTCACGTGCCCTGTCAGCATGTCAATTGCCAGTGGTAATGGACCGCCAATGTGTGTACGTCGATGGTAGATAGCTACTTTCTACCTACCTACCTAGGTAGTTCAAAGTGGCTTACCAAGGCCCAGCAACCCGTCCTCTACGATGGGAAAGGGGAGAGAAGGGAGGAGCTGATGGAACTAAATAATGGACTTTTTCTTTGTAAATAGTGTACACTACGTAGGTACCCTGCCTGCTTCGGCCCAGATCGGGGGCGGAAACAGGAGTGGAATCGATGCCGACCAGGCACATTAAAGATTACCTAATGCGCCAGCCAGCTTCCTTACCTCATAGCACAGCACAGTAGGCTGTCGTCTGTTCGGTGCCGTGCTTGCGTGCCTAAGCTTAAACACACAAATCGTCCGGTTTCCCCGTCGTCGCTCGTCGGTAAGAGCCCCTGGCTCGTGTGCTACCAACTGACGGGCTACCGTTCTGGCATCGTGGCGTTGCCGACGGGTGCTTGCACTTGCGCTTGAGCTTGCGGGGGGCGAAAGAGAAAGAACAGAGGAGGAAACGAGAGGATAGGAAAGAGAGAAAAGTAAGAAAGAAGAAGAAGAAAACAAAGAGAAAAAAAGAGAGAGAAAAAAAAGGAGAGGGCTGGCTAGCCGGCCCATCACTCGCCTTCACCCCATCTCCATTACAGCAGAGTAACCATCCGATTCGACCGAACAGCACCTAATCATGCCCACTTTGTCAGTGGCACACTCGGACTCTAGAGTGGCCTGGACACGGCGCCTTACCTGACCCCTAACTCCGCTACTACTCTACATTCCTGGTCCCAAGCCAAGGACCCCGACACTGGGCGTTGGGTGATGAGCTGAACCAAGTCAGTTGTCAGTTGGCTCCGGTACATTGGATGTGCATGGAACCTGGATAAGGGCTTCATGGTTGCCTGCACAATCAGTCCATGTCCATCACATCACATCACCGTCCAGAGTTACCCAAAAGAGCTGTGAAACAATAAAAAACTACAACACGAGTCCGGGGCTCTCTCTCGCTTCTTATCTCTAACCCGAGCTGAATCTGGAGCGGGTTTCTCTTGGCCCCTCAGTGTCCTCACTACTTCATTGACTTCCGAAAGATGCAGGGACTGCTTACCCAAGAAAAATGATCTATGATGCGCAGCAAGGACGGAGTCCGTCCTTTATGCGTGGGGGCATTCAGGGGATATCACTTATTATTCCACCGTTCGCTCCTTTCCGTCTTGTGCTCAGGAATCTTATATCGTATATACAAATACTACGTTTACATACCAAGCCTAGCCGTTCCAGTCAGCGGGTTCTCCGACGCTCATTGCATCGAGCCGACGTTGTAACAGAATCGGTCGGCGCTGATGGCTACTACCGAGAATCGACACTAATCCGGTTCGTATGCCCAAACCATACAGGGTGATCCCAGGACCCCGGCCCCGACCCAGCGCACTTCAACCTCCCCAGAATAGGTAACTTACTACGTACCACTTTATGCCAGGAAACTTTGGCTTTCTCAACAAGGGTTGCCTCCCTTCTCATTCTGCTTCTGCCCGACGCACGATTAGCCTTCTTTGTGCCGCCGAAACCGAGACCGTCCGAATCAGAGAATGCCCCAAGGGAGTGATTAGGAGGTATGCAACCCACGGCTGGGTTCCACGAAGCCGAGGTGGCCCCTGTTATTCCATACCCTTCTCGAAGAACTGAGCACTGGAGAGCAAGAGGCTGGACTCCTGAGAGGTCTAGGGGGCTGGCTGGTCGGATTCTTGGCAAGTTGACGGTCATCGTCACCACCTCGGTTGTCTATCCACCACCGGCGCTGCCGGCCCTCGTCGGCGTGTCGTATCGTTGGGGTCATCTCCCGCTCTCGCCCCTTGAGACCCTTTGTGCCTTGAGATTTTTTATTTCATGGCCTGATTGCCCTGCTGGCTCCACTACGCCAGAGCGACCTGAATGCCAAATCTCATTTCAACGCCCAACAGCTTCACTACCTTCATCCTCTTCGATGTCGAGACGCTCTCCCCTGTCCGCCATCAAGACCAAAGTGAAGCGCGCTCAACCCAGCTCTGAAAGCCATTCCTGCGAAACAGCCAACCAGAGGCTGCCCATCTGTGATCCCATCTGCCGCTTCCTAGCAAGGTTGTTCGCCATCCGCCAGGAAAAAGACCGGATAGCCGGTTACGGGCGAGCTTTCTAGTTAGGATGTGACATCGTTCATTAAGAATTGTTTCTGTTCTTACTGCTATGAAGGCAGTACTGTATATTAGCGATTTGTTCCGAGTCCACACAGCAAACGTGCAAGCCATCCGCTTCTCAGATACTATCAGAAGCCGTCTGCCTGATGGTGGTACAATATGCCCCTGATTCGATGCATTCCGGCCGCAAATGCCAGCGATCGAGCGATCAGCACCGAAGCAGTGAAATTGGCGGTTGAATTTACTGGTTCCTTCAGAGATGGGCTGCAGCGATTGGTTTCGGTACCATATGTCAGGTCAGAGGACCTGTTGACCCCCAAAGGAACACCGCAACCCCCCCCCCCCCCCCCCCCAAAAGCCCAAACCCAAACGATGGTGTGTGGCTTGATGTCCAGATTTCCACCTTTGCAACAATACACTACAGCTGCAACGGCTGGGGTCTGCGTCCTTCTTTGCAGGCTGCTTGACCAACGGAACACAGGAGCTACCGACCGACAGCGTCGACCTTGAGTCGACGGCATGGCCTGGACCGTTGTCTCACATTGGTCATCCACTGAGATCGACACATTCGCGTTCCCCGCGCCGCCACACCAGCACACCATCTCCAATGCACGGGAGACCTTCGGGTGGGTGTGTGTGCGCATGTGTGCAAGGCCAGGCTGACATTCAGTGTACTAGCCTCTTGCTTGCCAGTCGACCAGTCTTCGTCATCGCATCACACCTCCCAAACCGCCGCAGCATAACTGCATGGACGTCGCACGCACTGAGGATAATGCCATGACTACGGATCCCAGTCAAATGGCTTTCCGAGCCGTTACGCATTGGCTCCAGAGCCAGACTCTGCCGGTATTCTGCTGCACTACACCGACGTTCCGTTCGAGGATGCCATCGGACATCGTCGCTGACAGTGTACCTTTATCACAGTCTCACCTGAGCAACGCGTTGAGCCAGCAGCAACAGCATCAGCAAAGCCAGTCACCCCAGATAAGCGAGGGAGAGACGAGCGAAAGCGTCGCGAGGCGCGCCTCATCTGCTCTTTGGACCAAACCGCTCCCGCAGCTGCCACCGCCCAACATGTCCTTGTCAGGAAAGGTCGCCATCGTCACCGGCGGCGCGCGAGGCATCGGCGCCGCGATCGCGTTGAAGCTCGCACGAGAAGGAGCCAGGGTGCGTCTCCCGATTTCACTAGCTACCTTATGTCTTTTTTATCCTCCCTTCTTCTTTCATGATCAAATTCAAGAACCACGGCTAAGGCTAGATTTCTGTGATTCTCGTGACTGAAGGTCGCCTTCACGTTTGTAAGCACATCATCTATAGCAAAGGCCCATGAGGTCATATCCGAGATCGAGGCCTGTGGGTCCTCGGCGACGGCCATCCAGGCCGACGTCTCGAAGCACCAGAAAAAGGTCATCGAGCGCACGATGATGGCCTTCGGCGTCACAAAGATCGATATCCTCGTTAACAACGCCGCCGCTACGCTCAGCGCGACGCTCGACGACACGACGACCGAGGACTACGACCGCATTTTCGATACCAACACCCGCGCCGTCTTCTTCATGATGCAGGCCGTCAAGCCCCACATCGCCCCGGGCGGTCGGATCATCAACATCTCGTCCGTCGCGGCTCGCGCTGACAGCCCCGGTAGCATGGCGTATGCGGGCAGTAAAGCTGCCGTCGAGGCCTTCACGCGCGTTGCGGCGCGGGAAATGGGGCAGGCTCACGGCGTCACTGTGAACTGCATCAGTCCGGGCACGGTCAAAACGGAGATGTTTGACTCGCTGCCGGACGACCAGCGAAGCGCCGACCTGGAGAGGGCGACTCTCACGCCCGCGGAGGCCAGGCTGGGCGCCGTCGAGGACATCGCTGACGTCGTTGCCTTCGTGGCGAGTGATGAGTCCAGGTGGATTACGGGGACGGTTATCCCGGTCAATGGAGGCCGGCTGATGAACTGAGAAACGGGTGGAACTCATGTCTCACGTCCGGTGCATTGTGGTGGCGGTCTTCATGTGCGGCTTACGAAACGAAACGAAACGAAAAAACAGGACTGTGTCTAGGTATACGACGGCTTGGGCGAGGACTTCTGACGAGGCTGTATAATGAGTCAAGAGGTGTACGATGCGGGTTTGAGACACTGGGGCTTTTCTGTATACTTGGCTGCCTACTATCTGTATCTTGGGTAACGGAACGGGTTTGGTTCGGGTTCAGGCTTTGGGTAGTGGACGCGACGCTTTTTTTTCCCTCCCCCCCTTTTTTTCCTTTTGAGAAGCACGAAGCTGCCATTCTGGAGTTTTTTTTTTTCCAGTTTTTTTTTTTCTTTTTTTCCTTTTCCTCTCGCTTTCCAGTATCGGGGTTTTCCACTTTTGCATGTATGGAAACGAGTTTGATTTTTCTGTATACGGCCGGAAAGTTCCAGATACCATTATGATATTGGTTGTTTTCTTCTTCCAGGCGCCCTCGTTTTGACTCATGCGGTGTAGTGTCAATACGATTCCTTCGATAAAGAAGCTGCATGGGCCGTCAGCTTCCCTGGCCTTCGGCAAGTGGCTGGGTAATGAGGCATATTGCATGACCATTCAAGATTCTATGGTGAGCGACAGGACGGCCGCGGGGAGCCTTGAGGCCTTGTCGTGAGGTTGGGGGAACGACCCGGTCCCATTATATGGGTGAACTGTTGCGACAGACACGCTCGCCTGGAATGTTGTAAAGATCTGAGGGACTCGTTTGGGGCCTGCCAGAGCAGCTCTGCGTATTCGCCTAGCCTGTAGTATATATGCTCCGGGAGCCCACAACAAAGCTAGTCAGAGAAATAAGCTCACGGCAAGAAACTCTGCCACATGTACCCATCCATCGCCCCTGACTTTCAAGGGCCATGCACATCATCCCTCCCAACTGATGGGGAGAGCCACTCGCCAAAGCCCTGCCCGATGAGGTTAAGGTTCCAGGGTTGTCCAATTTGATTTCAACAGGATTTTGGGTCGCACGGGCTCTTCTCGTACAGGTCGCCAACCATGGGGGGCCTTGACAAGTGCGCGTCGCCGCCATCATTGGGTCATCGTAGTCAATACGAGAGGAAGCCAGATCTGCACAGGAGAGTACATACATCGGGTTCCGGTCGTTATGGGCTTGCCAAGGCTTGGTTCGAAACCAGTGTAAGGCATGGGATACCTGTCCCTGATTTTACTCGTACGCGAGCATCTTCACATGTTTCCGTGGTGGGCAACGATCCAAAATCGTGGTCACAATGATATCTGGAATCCATCAGCAGTAGCGAACTAGTTGATGTACATGAGGTTGTCGAGCCGACAACAGTCTTCTAGTCAATGATGTCAGAGTACTGGGACATAGAGGAAGACGAAGATTCAACTGGATCTAACTTTGCATAACTATTTGCGTACTTCATGGCAGATCTATCCTGCACATGCCGCAGTATCTAAATGGTCCACAAAGTGACAACGATGGTGGAAGACCAAAGGGGGAACAAGCAACCTTCCTGTCGTCCGATGGCAGCACTGAATGCTAGATCATAGTCCAGTTGGGTAGTCGAGGTTTCTAACAAAACCCTGGCATGATAGATCATCTTTATAGGACTCTTCCGGCAAAGGCACATTGTTGAGGAATTCTAAACGACTGGGCGTATCGACTCTGCCACAGCTCTGATAAATACACGCTCTAGACAACGTCGGAATTCAACGACAGTCAAGTTCGAGTGACCAACACGAGAAGAACATTTATATTACTTTGATTATACACTAAGATTCCCATTATATGTGTAGGGTGGAGTCGGGTATCACATTTATATTTCAACAAGTGGGTGGCAAAGAGTATGAAATTGCACCAACTCCGAGCAGATGCAAGTGGGGAAACAACAAGCCTGGAATGGAGACCTTCTCTAGGCTGACGTTGTTGACCGCCGCCAAATCATGAACGCCGCAACGCCAGCGCAAGCCGTGGCACCCAGGGCAAGGTACAGGCTGGTCCTGTCTGGCGGCGGCTCCTCGCTACGCGGAAAGGCTGTGCTTGGGTTCGTCGCCGCGTCCGCCAGCGCGATGAACAGCTCGCTGATGCTGGACCATTTGACAGTTACATGGAGAGGAGTGCTCATCATCAGACTCGAGGTGTATGTGTCGGGCTGCATTTCACTACGCTGTGTCGTCTTGTCCTTATCCGCCTTCAAGGCTGTGTAAATGTTGGGGAGGTCGTCTAGTTGTGGGTAGCGTTTACGCAGCTCGACAATGTGAGAAAAGGAGTCAGGATCCGAAGAGTCGTACGTGTAGCAGATAAGATCGCAGGCGTCCAGCTTGGCTTGGTTTTCCAGGATAGCAGGCTCGAGCTCACCCAACTCTTCTAGGATCAGGTAGCATTGCTTGCCGCCGGGAAGCTCTACACTGTTGACAGCCCGTCGTGGCTTGATTGTTGGCCGATAGAGGGTGTCAAACGGTCGATTCAAGAAGGCGTCCAACAAGGATGACTTGCCAGCCCCTGAGGCACCCAGAACATAACACAGCACGACGTTACGCTCCACCTTACCAGGGCGTCTTCTCCGCTTCCGCGATTTCGTAACTTTGAGCGCCGCCGTGGTCGTTTCGCGAGCAGTTGCGGGTTCAAATCCCAGGTAGGCTAGGTACTCAAGCGTCGTCTTTGGTTCCATAAAGGTGGTCATACTCCATTGAGCGAGCCACCCTTGTAGAGTGACGTGCCCGGCTTCGTTGCGCACGGTCGAAGAAGGGAATGAGGTCTCGATCCAGGAGGCGGGAAGTCCTGGTGTCGGCGCAAAAAGAGCCTCGAGTTCCTTATCGTTCAGACCGCCATCGTTGTCCTTATCAAACAGCAAGAACAGGTCTACAAAGAAGCGGTATCCTGCAGGGCTCAGCTCCGCCGAAGAATACTCCGGCACATCAAACTTGGGGTGCAGGAAGCTATCCTCCAAGCTCAAACTGTCCGTGTACCGAAACTTGCGCAATATGATCCAAATCGTCTCGTGTCGGCCCTTTTCCGCGTATATCTTGTTCAGCTGCAAGAAGCCTGGTTGGTCAATGCCCTTCTCAGTCGACAGATTCGGCACTGTCTTGCTGATCGAGAGCTTGATGTTTTCCAGGTCCTCGGCGGTTAGAGGTTTGTCGAAGCACTTGGACTGGAAATTGTGCATTTCCTGGTCATTGAGGTACCCGTCCTGGTCCTTGTCACACAAGTAGAATATGCGCTTCAACGCATCGACACAAGCCGGCTTCAGGTTCCCCTCCTTGTAGTCGAATAGCGGGGCGATGGGGTGTGTGACGGCCTTTTGGCAGAGGAAGAAAACTTCATTGACATTTCGGTGCTCCCTCGCGCTCGAGCGGATGCACGAGTCAATTTCGCGGAACTCGGACATGACCGGCAGCATCTCGCCCTCGACAACCTGCGGTGTGTTCCCCTCACCCGTCAAGTCGGACTTGTTGGCGCATAGGACGACGGGGACATTGACGCCGAGGGAGCGGAAGTACGGCATCCAGAAGAGAGCAACACGCTCATAGCTGTAGTGATCCGAGTAGACAAGAAGGATGACATTGCACTTTCGTATCTCTTTTCGTAGGGTAGTGCGGTCCTGAGGCCGGGCGGAGGTGTCGACGATCGTGGTCGTGACGTTCTCAGGCGTGCCGAGTTGTGGAGGGATCGTGATGGAGGGGAGGACGGATTGAATTTTGTTAGAGATGAAGACATCTTTGACCAGCGAAGCGATGAGGCTAGACTTGCCAGTGCCCTCATCACCGCAAACGCAGATGCGAACTAGAGTAGGACGCAAGTGGTCAGTTTGAAGCTCAGGAGCACGAGGACCGGGGTGCAGCAGCATAAGTGCCCGTCAGGCCACCTACCAGAAGCCATGGTCAATATCGTTGGAGCTCAGAGAAGCGATTCTATTGCGATGCCATGACAAATTTGCTGTTGACTATTCTGCAAGAGGACCTGCTTGATAAATTAAAGCAGAGCTTTGAGATGGAAGCTGATAGTTGGGGCCGTTTTCCTGGGTCGAGTTGCAGTTGTGGTCGAATTGGCCCGACGGGCTCAGAGCAGCTTCGCAGAGGGTTGTACGGGACTCGGCAGGTGGACGGGGGTAGAAGTTCGAATGACGACGACCTGATTGCAAGGATAACTCCGGTGGGGGCCACTGTGAGGTACTGACGGAGCTCAGCGGCATCAGCGCGTCGGCGACACAAGACCCGCTGAGACGAGAAGCCGATTAGCGGATCAGTGCTCGGGGTATGATAAACGAGCTACCTAGGTAGGGATATGCAGATTACATAAGGCCGTTGTGGGCGAGTGAGGTGAAATGTGTGCCGCCTTATTCGCTTTGAGAATGGGGAGTAAGACAATTGGGGAATTGAACAATAACTTGTAGGCAGTTCCGAGGTCTGAGCCGAAACATGTAATACTAGAGTCTGGCCTTTGTGAAGCATCGGTATCAAGCTGGCAAACAATGCATATGTTCTCTCACTAAGTTTAGGCTACCTAATCGGCGAACGGTGGATCTACGTCGCTACGGAGCATCACAGCGACATGTGCCCAGTTGCTTAGGCCGAACAACATGATCACACGTTCCATTGGTCATCTTTCTTCACGGCTGACCGTCCTACCAAATATTCTCTCTTCTGGCAAGCGATCCGAAAGAAGGACACGGAACTCCCTCGAGTCCAACTTTTACCCCACACTTCCACGGAGATGGACCGGTCTCAGCTCGCCTGGCGTTTGCTGCAGCCTGCTGATGCAACTACGAAGGTACACGGCACCCTCTCCCCACAGTTGAGTATTGGCCCCCCCTCCAGTTCCTCTTCCCACCACTCACGTCGCAGTAATCCGTCTCCGGACCCCAGGCTGACCTGCTTCTTTACCTATTCCTTCTTCATGGTCATGTTAGGATGGCTCATCTCAGAACATGGACATGGCCCCGGGGAACTGGGAAGGGCGGGGACTGAACCGGAAACAGAACCACACCGAGACGCAGCCCTCAGCCTGTACGAGAGTTGCGTTTTCTGGGTTGGGATTGGTGCATCTTGGCCACGAACCAACCTACCTTGACTTGTCAACCTACCCTGCATTGCCTTGCCTTGTGTGCCAGCCTCTTACCTACCATTTCACCTCTATTAATACTCGTGACACGCCTCACATCTTCTCGCAGATACCTTAACGGCCACCTTTGAGTTCATCTGGTCGTTGGCGCCCACCACTCGCCCTCTCTCCCGCCCCCCGACCACCTTGTCATCCGGTCCAGGTGTCCCCGAAAGCCAACGATACCCCTCGGGCGTGCGGCGACCTTCTCAAAACGTCGGTTGTCACTATCGCCTTCAACCCTCTCTCCACCGCCCCGGCAGCTACCAGAGGCCCAGAACCCCCACCGCGGCCGCCAGTGACGTGAGGCGGAGCCGACGACAAACGTCCGTCCCGAACGTCCGAGGATAGCCACCTCAAACATTCAGCCTTACTCTGCGCGCTGCCGATTGCCAGGCTCATCGCCTGTAATCAATCGCCGTCGGCGCAGTCGAATCAGCCGTAGACCGGACCATATATCATAGCTAGCCCATCATGTTGTAAGTACCCTCAAGAGCGCTTGCCTTGCCACGGCTGCCTTGTCCGCAGACCTTGCAGTTGTGCGACGTCCACAGCATGCCCCGAGGCCGTTCTTCAGGCGCAAAGTCGCGCCTTTCATCACGTCCACAATGGTTCGACATAGACCACGGCTGACCTTAGCACCTCTTGCGGTATCCCAGTGTTCTTCCGCCCCCTCCGCGATACCCTTCGCACTCGGGCGCCTATGGGGCCATGGGCGCCGGCCTTGCTCCCATGATCGAAACGAACAACGTCCTCTCCAATCCCGAGGGACCCGAGTACCAGTTCCTGGTCGGCGAGGGCACCTACGTGCTGAAAGAAGACCTCCACCTCGCGACGCCGCCGCCGCACCCCTCCGAAGCCCCAGTCGTGAACCCGAATCCTCTTGCGACGAACCCACAGCCCGCGACCTCGGGAACCAAGCTCTCCTTGATAAGCCTTGATGTGCGCGCCGCGCCGCCCTTCTTCTACAAGGGCTCCTCCGCCACGACGTTATCGCTGGGAGGCGATATCCAGGAACATCCCAGCGAGGGCCGATACTCGACCGAGGCTGGGCTTAGCAGTGACGGAGGCGGCGGGTCTCTTAGCGATGCGCCCCCGACATCCTTGACCATGGTCTCGGCTCCGGCGTTTGGCGACGGTAATACCGCGCTGGCACCGGCCAATACCAAGGACGCTGCCAAGAAGAAGGTGGCTAAGCCGAAGAACAATATGACTAAGAGTAATTCTTCCTTCATTTCCAGAGTGATAATCAATGAAAGCTTGGCGAAGAAGCTGCAGGAACGGCCGACAGACGGTGTGTTCGCTTTTGCCAACATCAACCGAGCGTTTCAATGGCTGGACCTGTCGTCGCCAACAAAGGTTAGAAGCCCGACATTGCGGCTGATGCGAGCGTCGTACTGATAGGCTCCAGGCCGACTACCTGACCAAGATTCTGTTTACCAAGGCCCACTGCCTATGCCACGACGTCAACCCAGTCACTAAGAACATTGCACATATTGATGTCATCATGGGCTTCTCTACCGGCGAGATCATCTGGTGGGAGCCCGTTTCGCAGCGGTACACTCGGCTGAACAAGAATGTACGTTGGACTGTTCAACATGCTCGTACAACGGACTGACATTGTAGGGCATCATCAACGGTACGCCCGTCTCTGAGATTAGGTGGATTCCCGGCTCCGAGTCTCTCTTCCTGGCAGCGCACATGGACGGCTCGCTGGTGGTCTACGACAAGGACAAGGAGGATGCGCAGTTCTCGCCGGAAGATGAGTCGCCAACAAACAGCTCGATGAACGGAGAGAGCGACTCGGCAAGCGGCGTCAACCACAACCTCAAGATTCAGATCAACAAGTCGGTTCACTCCAAGAACCAGAAGACCAACCCGGTGGCATCATGGAAACTGTCCAACCAGCGGATCAATGCATTTGCGTTTAGCCCTGACAACCGACATCTGGCAGTGGTCTCGGAAGACGGCTCGCTCCGTATCATTGACTACCTGAAAGAAGAGTGCGTATGCTGCCCGGAGGTGCAGTGACTTTACTGACGAATCGCAGGCTGCTCGACCTCTACCATTCATACTACGGTGGCTTCATCTGCGTTACGTGGTCTCCGGATGGCAAGTACGTGCTGACGGGAGGCCAGGATGACTTAATCTCTATCTGGTCCGTCGTAGAGTCGGCCATCGTAGCACGCTGTCAGGGTCACCAATCCTGGGTGACATCGGTAGCGTTCGACCCGTGGCGCTGCGACGACAGGAATTACCGGTTCGGAAGCGTCGGCGAGGACTGCAGGTTGTGCCTGTGGGATTTCAACGTTGGCATGCTGCATCGTCCCAAGGCTGTACGTTGCCGGCTTAAGTTGGGCGCCGGAGAGCGCTATGTGCACGAAAAAGGCTGACTGTCGAGATAGGCTTCTGTCCACCATCGGGGTTCCGTCTCGTCACGGTTCGCCAACCCCTTACAGAGACAAGAAACAGCGAACACTCTGACGAGCCGGATCCGCTCCAATTCTACGCTGTCTGGCGGCGCCGTGGACGAAGAAGGCAGCATCATCCATCCTGTCGAGCCTCGCGCGAGAATCGCCATGCTCCCCCCTGTTTCCGTAAGCTGCACCAATCACCCTCCCGTCGATGGAGTCAAGAGAGTTTGTTTGCTGACGTTTGTCGCCTTAGTCTAAGGCAGTTGATACCCACCCATTATGCTGGCTTGAATTCACAGAAGAGGCCATCATCACGAGCTGCAAGAACGGTAGGTTGACTTTTCACCAGCAGGAAAGTATCACGCTGCTAATATACCCTGCCTCAGGCCATATTCGGACCTGGAACAGGCCCACTGATGCACCGGTGCCGACAGAGGGCGCATCTCAGCCAGCTTAGGCTTCGGCGGGATTTTGTTTCGCAGATACTGGAACCAGGGTGTAAAACTACCTAATCAAGCGGCATTGCACTGCGCCTCTAGCATCTTGAAAAAACGTAAATAAACCAGGCACTTCTGCTTCATTCCACTTCCATCTGGCCATACAGCCCCTGAACGTGCAGAAACTTCTTTTCGCCGCAGCAAACTCTTAATCTGCACCTCTCCCAAGGAGGAGCAAGACAGCGGTGATGATGACGTGTGATCGGCATGTGATTTGAGGATCAAGAGGTCAAAATTTCCTACCCTCCAGTAACCTTTCACTGGAGACGTGCACCTGTCTGCATTGGCTGGCTGAGAATCAATATGCGGCTCCGCGGTGGACTGAAGGTGTGCGACTGCGACTGCGACTGCATCTCCTCTGGCCATACCACGCGGCCCAATACCCCCATTAGGGTAACCTTGTCACTCACATGTCGTGACCTGCATCCGACTCAGTCATCCGTCTTGGTTTAGTTGTGCGCGTCGATGTAGATGTGCACGATGCGTGGGGGTTCGTTCCACCAGCCGAGCTGGCTTGCCGCTGCATAGGTAGCTTGTTGCCCTTCTGCCTGCCATGCCAGCCCATGTCAACGGGAACTTACCGGGTGTGAGGCCGGCCACGGTGGTGGCAACGGCGAGTTGGAACGGGAACCAAGCTTGCCAGCCGCTGACAGGGGGTAGGGGCGGGATAAAATGGATGGGAACCCGGCCGATGAGTTTCCTGATCCACGTCAACGAAAAGAAGTCGGGTGAAAAGTTAGACGAGTTGATAGATGCACGCGAGGAGACAGAATACGACATGATTCTGGAACGCGGTCCATAATTCAAAGGGGAAAACAGAGCGGGTTTCTCTCATGATGCCCATGGATCTTGTTAACCTATTCCTTTCCTCTGCTCCAAAAGCAGGGAAACCAAACTCCCGAGGTATCCACCTTTGATTTGATATACTATGGTACCAGGCCGAAGTTTTATCGCCCCTGTCAGGTACCCCCCTCCAGTCCGCCAGCTGTCAACGCCATCTAGCTATTACGCATTACCTATCACCACCACTATAGATTTTTATAAGAGATAGGTAGGATACTTAGATACTGTGTGGCGATTTACATCACTAGGGCCATAAAACTTTCACCTGCCACCCTGCACGACAGGTTTGCCAGGAAGCCGGGAAAGGGTGTCGCAGCCACTGAAAAACACCTCGTTGCTGTATGGGCGGAGCCTTCTTCCAAATTCACATGTTGGCGCCCGTCGAGTTCGACACGCGGCGCGCGGTGATAACGAAACTGGTGATGGGGGGGGGGGCTTCTCTGAGTCGTCGGAGGGTACTTTCTGAGGCTTTTTGAAAAGTGCCGCCGCATAGTGTGCTTTATGCCGCAGTTCCGTAGCAGCGTGTCATCATGTGTTAACCTACCAAGTACATGGTGTTTGAGTTGTACGCAGGCATGTGGGATATGTATATGTGTACAAGTGCGTTTAGAATTTTTCTCCCTCGATATGTGGTCGATGCACCTTGTAAAGCAACCTCTCGGTAACAGGGTGCTGGCGTATCCACCATCTGTAGATAACGGGTAGACGGCCCACTTTGAGTGGTTTGCGTGTGTGCTCGCCAGGGAGCTTCAGATGTCGGGAGCCAGGAGGCAAGGCTGAAGAAGAGGCTCCACAAGCGTGGTCCAACGCAAGCGTCCTAGAGGTTGGTACACTAGAGGGTGTGGTATCAGCGTTCGCCTGCAGGGCATTTGAGAAATTCGTACCGGTATGTGAGACTTAAGGCGCCGGCCCCCTGTACCCCCCCTTCCACCACTGCAAAGGGCCGAAGGTGAGAGATTTCGGCGTGAGTGGATATCGGTACGCGGCAGTTGGCGAGATATTTCGGGCCCAAGCGTCGTGACTCAACCTAGTGTACTCTGTACTTTGTACACTAATTAGCTCGGTGCCCGAAATGGGCCATTGAAGTACAATATTATTGAAACAATGGGTCCGTTTGGGTAATCGGGCCATTGTCAGCAAGCCTTTCGCACATAGCTGCGACAGTATTGAAAGACAGTAGTAATAGGTACTGCGGCTCAACGCGTCCGATCGGGCCGATCGGTTCCGATGATCCTCAGTCCATTTTCGTTGCTGGCATGTATGAGCAGTGAATGAGGCTCAGGCCATGATGTGTGCTGGGGCGAGACAGACTGGCTCAGGCGAGACGGCTGGGTAGGTACACCTAGGGATTGGAGTATGCAACAGAAAAGAGAGATGTCATGTTGATATCAGTGGGCCTCTTGTGTGATCTGACACGAACAGGCATGATGCTGCATATTGTTGCACACGCCCAGGGTCGTCGACTGGGTGGGGCCGTGTGGCTGCGGCAGTCGACGCTAAGTTCTAACTAAACTAGCGAACTTGTTCATTGTATCCGTAGTTTACATAGCCTTGGGAAAATCTTGGTATCTTGCACTCTAGCCCCTAGCAAGTCGCGGCCCTTCTATTGTGTAGCGCCATCTTAGCTCGACGGGACAACCACCTTCTGCAGAGCGGAGCCATGGTGGATAATGGGCTGAGCTCGCTTCTGCTAGCTATCCGTCCGCGGAGCAAGTTGTGCGGGCTATTCGACTGGGATTCTTGGATACAGACACCAAGACGACGCCGTGTAAAACAACTATTCAGACTTTCCAGAGCTGCAAGGATCAAGCGGTGCATAGTAGCATGGTCAGCTTGGGATGACCCGACATTCCGTGACTGCAATGTTGACCGCCGCGGCGGGTGGCTGCAGTTCATTTGATTAAACTCCAGAGGGCGCCGTCTAGGTCCCAGGTCGAGGTTTGCTGATGACACAATCCCGACTTAATCCTCTGTAAACATGTGCCCAAACGACACCAGTAAGTCTGACCAAGATCATCTGGATCGCAGGAACTTGTGCCGGGCGCTGAGCGATTGCGACATAGCCGCCGTTGGCAATCGCCAAGACGTATCTGGAAGAGCTCTTGTAGGCGTAGGTCCGGGTTCGGTGCAGCTTCGGACGTGGGTTTTGCGGTTTGGTATAATTTTCCTTATCTCGGAGCCGTTCATCCTAGGGCGACGCTTATTGGCTGCCATCCACCAAAGAGGGGATAAGAGTTGCAGTTGGAGGAAAAAGCAGGGTTGAAGGCGCCATGGCCAAAATTTCAGCGAAGAATCCACACGGTCGAGTCGGTGAGAGGTCCATTGCTCCCTGTCTCCTGTTGGTTCTTGGCGGAGGGGCTGAAGGCCTTCGGAAAGGGAGGAGAGTTGTAGTGCAGACGGTGTTAGCCGCCGAATCGTATGGTTATGGATTGATTTCGGGTTGAGGTTCATACGATTTCTCATGCAGGGCCAAGTGTGGACGGAAGCGCTGTAACCGCGGCATCGTGAGTTAATAGGCCGGCAGTCCAGAAGCAGGATCTTCGGTCTCGGTGTTGGGATTCGGAAATCTCAGGAGTTTGCTCTTCGCTTCGAGCTGGAAATTATCGGTGGAGACATTGGTAAACCCTCAGGAGTTCAGAAGAACGCCTCCTGTGCGTGCTCTCGTGGCAGGGCTCGGGATCAGGGCCTCCAGTTGCCAGAGTGTTTCCGCTTCTCTCCTGGCGACGATCCCACTGGATCCCGGGTAGGGGGTGGGGGGGGCTTGGAGACTGTGGACTCAGCGGATTTCCATAGACGCTGGATCCGTAAAAGATGCGATGCCCAGACCATCAGTTTAACTGGGCGTAAGGCCTGGAAGGGGTCTGAAAGGCCTTTGTCTGCTGAGAATGCTGCATGCGGCAGACCGACCCGTCCAAACGCGCCTGCCAGAGAAGCTGGATAAATTGACTTGCATCGGGCTTCCGGCAATCGGCAGGTGCCTATACGGAGGAGTCACGCCCCCCAACTGAGACCAAGACGGCCCCTCATTCAGTAAGGAGCAAGACCTCCAAGACTGTCATGAGGCGCAGGGTCGGAGACGAGTAAGATGAGCGATGGTGAGCTCCTCGTATGATGGTGCGCGGGATGTCGCAAACATTAATGCCCCTTTTCCGGCAAAATCGTGAGATTCTGACCATCAGGTGCACCTGGTGCTGCGGGGACGGCACGGCCGTTGCATTCGGCCTGCCTTGTGCCATACATTTAAATGCAGGTCTCAATGTTGCACATGCTGCTTGAACCAGGCAACGGCGGAGCATGGAGCAGACCGCCATCGCTCATGTGCGGGCAGCATTTACTCCGTGGTGGTCCTCTCGCGAGTCTTGTGATGAATGAAATTCATAATAATCGGCTGGCTGCATCTGGGAAACGATCACGTCGGGAGGCGCCAACGTCAGGCAACATAACATAGCTTTGCTCATGCCTATCGTCGACAGCGGCTGTGGGAGGTTTGCCAATCTTGCCCATTCAGGGCGACAAGAGGCGTAGCGTATTGGAGATGGGGTGGGGGGCGATGGCTTTGAGCAAGACTGCAGCAGACCAGTAAAAGATCAACTTGGTAATCGAGTGCACGAGTCTTGGCGACACGTATAGCTTCGTGCATGGAGCTGGATACCAAAGCCACGTTTGATGACGAAGGCGTTTTCGAGGCGGTCTGTTGGCGTATTCTTGCTAGGTAGTGTAAGCTGCATTGGCCGCAGACTGTCGCCGAGGTGAGATATCGGGCGCACGCCAACGAGCGAAGCTATACGCAGCAAGGCCAAGGAGACAATAGCCCTACGTAACTATCTGGTAGGTAATCAGGTAGTGTACTACTAACAAACAGTCTTCCTTGTTCCTGTTCCGTAATGGACGGAAGGAAGACCGCCTGAATCTGCAATCACGTACAGGGTCATGGGTTGGAGGCCCATCCCACGCGAGGACCCACTGGGCCGGTGTTGCCTCTGAGATTGTTCAAGAACGGGTATCTCGTTCCTTGAGCTGTGGCTGCAGACAGTGAGCGACTTGGAAGGAGGCTCACACACGCACGCGGCACATCACAGCCACAACCACCACAACCACAACCAACAGGGGGGAGTGCGGGGCCATAGCTTCTATTGGGCTTCCACCCCACCCCACGACTCATGCAGACCCAATCAGTGGCGTCGGGCGGCCTTCAGTCATCCATCGCCTTATCCGCTAGACGAACGGCGGGCGGCGGCAACGCCGTCATTGCGATTTCCGTTTTCTCTCAATTTAGCTTTACTTACCTAGGTATCTCAATTCTTTGTACTTCTATCGCTTATCGCTAGCCAACTCAGAATCTTCCAGCTCGGCGCCGCCATGAACCTTTGCAAAAACGTACCAACCGACCATCATAGCGGGCGTCCGTTGGAATTGCTATGCAACGAAGCGCATTGCATCGGGCATTTTTGGTTCTTTTTTCGCATCAACTAGGTAGGTACGACAGTCTGAAGAATGGGCAGATAATCCTGTACTTATAAGGTATACGGATAGTGGACACCTTAATTACCACATGCAGTGTGTACCAGCAGCAATGCGTGCAGATATTGCGCGTAAATAAGGTGCATGCGGACTTTACCCATTGTTATGTAGCATCTGTCGTCGCTTTTGTGTAACTGTCTGGGTGCACTCCGAGCAACGATGTACAAGTGTAGGCGCTTGGACCACGAGCTGTAATTCCAACTTGATTTTCATCTACCCCCACCCCTTCTCCTCTTCGTTGCTTGTTGCTTGCTATCCATCCGTCTTCACCCCATGACATGCCAAATCTCTGATAGTTTCCTGTTTTCATCGGACATGTATGGGTCGGGTGACCGCCCTCGCAGTCTCGGGGTAAATCTAGCCGAGCTCCCGAAGAAGAAAAAGACAAAGGCGAAACGATGTGGTTTGTCGACTGTCCGTTGGCACGATGAGTACTAGATAAGTGCCAGGCGTGTTTTCTAACCGATCCAAGACCAAGGCAGGCAGTCACTCTGTCAGAGAAAAGCGTAACAGGCCGACGGCAAGCTCTAGTTCAGACGCAGCATCAGCGTCAGCATCAGCATCAGCATCAGCATCAGCATCAGCACTGGCATTAACATCAGCACCAGTCAGTCAGCCTAAACGCCCAATCCAGATGAAAACAAGCGACCAGGTCATAATTGCTGGAGATATATAACGAGGTTTAGCTTGACAAGGACCAATCCAACTCAAGGCACGGGAAAATAGCGAACGAATGAATTCCGCGCACGCTCGTCATGAATTTGTCCTGATGCCTGGTTTGACTGATAGACTGATCATGCTCAACCCCCTCTCCTGCGAATGAACCACGAGCACTATCGAGACGGGCGAGAAATCAGCCTGAGGCGCGCGCACACACACAGAGAGAAATCCATCCCACTTTCCATCCACCAGCGGCCACCTACAATCCAAACGTAAATTACCTAGCCTACCGATGCTCTCTGCACAGGGCACAAGTCAGAAACACACCCCGTGGGAGAGAGAGAAAGAGAGAGAGAGAGAGTGTGTGTGTGTGTTCTCCCTCTGACTCTAATCCGACAGGCCCATCCAGTCCCATCAATTGGTGGGTGTAGAGTCGGGATTATTTTCCCGTACAGATACGTATATCCGTACAGCTTCCCTTTTCCCAGGGGCTGGGTACGATGTACATCGTACATGGCCTGTGACAGGGACGCACGGCAGGACGCACGTACTACCCGTACCTTACCTCATTCTCGCCTTGCACCTAGCGCGCTGCGCATCGAACCAGCCCTGCACCTTTTTTTTTTCTCTCTTTTTTTCCTCCTTTGCATTGCTCCCATGCCGTGGCCCCTCCCGGCTCCGTTTTGGGCCCGCCTTCCTTGCAAATCGTGCCAATGGGCCCGGTGGCTGTCACCTTCTGACTGACCCTCATCATCCTCAACCAGAATCTCCAACGACGGATCCAGTCCAGTACGTACTCGCCGTTCTTTGACCGGGCCTGGGCTCCCCTTTCCTTTCCTCTGATTCCATTTCTGCATACGAATACACGTACTACTACCTAGGTAGGTAGTATACACTACGAAGTATCCTTATCCTTACTCCCTCCAAGGGGACCCTGAACAAGGAACCTCTTCACCCCCTCGCCCAATCTTTTATCTCGGGCCATGGATGCACCCCCCACCACGAGCGAACCCGCTGGCGAGGGGCGTGGTCTTTGTCGTGGCGGGCGTGGACTTTAGACGAGGGTGGGCTGCCTATTTGTGAAGATGAACGCGCGAGTCTTTTACTTGCGCTTGCTTGATTGCCCTGCCCACTGATCAGATCGATGTACTACGTACCCAGGAAAGTCGCCCCGTCGATAAATACAAGCCCTTCTCCAGACCTCCCTTTTCTATATGTTTAGGTTGTTTCTCTCTGACCAGGCATACTGCTTGGTTCACTTCATCCCCAACGTCTGAAGATGCCGTCATTCAATCCATTTTCAACTGTCACGGGCAAGCATGCCGCTTCGCTCTTCGAGATCAGGTATGCGCCCTTTCTCCACGTCTCTCTCTCTCCAACTGCAGCATTTTCCCTTTCCCATCGTTAGATACTTCTGTCTCACTATGGCGTCACTCTCTCTTTTTCGGGCGGCTTTCGCTAACATTGGACATTCCACAGATTAGACAATGACTTTATTGTATTTCGTGGGGGAGAGGATGAGTCTGCTGGCCAGGTTCTCAAGGGCGTCGTCGTGCTGTGCCTACCCACACCGCTGAAGATTGAGGACGTCCATCTCCGCCTGACCGGCACCCATCGGTTAACGTATGAGTCCCTCGACTTTTGCTTCTCATTGCACACCAGTCAGCTGACCTTTGCGTCGAAAATAGATGGGAAAACTACAAGACCGTCGCATCTGGCGTCTCCACCCAAAAAGTCGACAAGACCACCACCCTGCTCCATCATCGCTGGGCTCCGTTCGTTGGCGGTCCTGGCGGCAAGAACACTCTCTTGCCTGCCGGCAACTATGAGTGGCCTTTCGAGTACACCTTGCCGGGCAATACCCCCGAGAGCGTCGAAGGCATTCCCGAAGCGAGCATCACCTACAAGCTCAAGGCGACCGTCGCCCGCGGCAAGCTTGCATACGATCTGCACGCCTACAAGGCGCTGCGTATCATCCGCACCCTCGAACCAGCTGCACTCGAATACCTGCATGCCATGAGCGTCGAGAATATCTGGCCGAACAAGGTCGACTACTCCATCATCATCCCGCAAAAGGCCGTCGTCTTCGGTGCCACCGTCCCCCTCCATATGCGATTCACACCCCTCTTGAAGGGCCTCGAAATGGGAGAGATATCCGTTAAGATGTTGGAAATTCGCGAATGCACATTACAGGGCCCCACGGGCAACGTTTTCAAGGAGCACAGAACCGAAAGAGAAGTCTCCAACTGGAAGTTCGAAGTTGGCCGAGAGGAGCATTGGCACGACACGATTGAAGATACCGGCCAGGAAGGGTGGTTGGTGGAGAAGAAGTTGAGCCTGCCCAAGAGACTGCGACAATGTGTTCAGGACCTGAATCACAACGGTATTAAGGTCCGCCACAAACTCAAGCTCGTTGTTGCCCTGAAGAACCCTGACGGTCACATCTCAGAGGTAAGTTACTAAATGCCACTCCCGATGACCGTTAAAATCAAACTAACGACATCCAGCTGCGCGCGACACTACCCGTCTCAATCTTCATTTCTCCCAACATGCCTCTCGATGAGCACGGTGTTCTCGTTGACCAGGCCCCCGGAGCGCCGGTTCAGGCCGAGGCCACCAGAATTGCGCCGCCTGGTTACGGCGAACACGTTCTCGACCAACTCTACGAGGACGTCGACATGAGCGGTTTCCAGACTCCGAGTGTGCAGTCTGGTTTCAGCAGCCCTTTCTACGCCCAATCCCGTGCAGGCTCGTCAGAAA